AAACTGAAGAGGATACAAAGAAATTGAAAGATAGTCCATGCTAATGGATTAGAGGAACAAATATCGTTAAAATGTTGGTACTACCCAAAGCAATCTATACATTTAATGCAATCCCTATCAAACCCAACAGCATTTTTCACAGAACAAGAACAAACAATCCCAAAATTTGTATGGAAGCACAAAAGAGCCCAAATAGCCAAAGCAATCTTGGAAAAGTAAAGCAAAGGTGGAGGCATCACAATTCCAGACTTCAAGGTATGTTACAGAGCCGTAGTAAGCAAAACAGTATGGTCCTGGCACAAAAATAGACATGTATATCAATGGAACAGAAAAGAAAACCCAGAAATGAGCTCACAACTATATGGTCAATTAATCTTCAACAAAGCAGGAAAAGAATATCTAATGGGAAAAAGATTGTCTCTTCAATAAATGGTGCTGGGAAAACTGGACAGCCACATGCAAAAGAATGAAACTGTACCATGCTCTTACACCATACACAAAATAAACTCAAAATGGATTAAGAACCTAAATTTGAGATCTATAACCACAGAAGTCCTTGAAGAAAGCACAAGAAGTAATTTCTCTGGCATTGGCCACAGCAACTTTTTCCTAGATAGGTCCCAAGGCAAGGGAAATTAAAGCAAAAATAAACTACTGGGACTACATCAAAATAAAAAGCTTCTGCATGGCAAAGGAAACAATCTAGAAAACTAAAAGTCAACCTGCGGAAGGGGAGAAGATATTTGCAAATGACCTATCCAATAAAGGGTTACTATCCAAAATATATAAAGAACTTATAAAACTCAACACACAAAAAACAAATAATCCAGTTAAAAAACAGACAGATGACATGAACAGACATTTCTCCAAAGAAGACATCCAGATGGCCAACAGACACGTGAAAAGATGATCATCATCGCTTACCATGAGGGAATGCAAATCAAAACTACAATTAACTACCACCTCACCCCTGTCAGAGTGGCTAAAATCAACAATACAAGAAACAAAAGGTGTTGGTGAGGATGTGGAGAAAAAGAAACACCCTTGCACTGTTAGTGGGAATGCAAACTGGTACAACCACTGTGGAAAACAGTATGAAGGTTTCTCAAAAAGTTAGAAAACTACCCTATGATCCAGCAATTGCACTACTATTTACCCAAAAAATAAAAAACACTGCTTCAAAGGGATTCATGCACCCATATGTTTACAATAGCATCATTTCCAATAGCCAAATTATGGAAGCAGCCCAAGTGTCCATCGACTGATGAATGGATAAAGAAGAGGTGGTATATATATAAAATGGAAAATTATTCATCCATAAAAAGGAATGAAATCTTGCCATTTGCAAGGAAATGGATGGAGCTAGGGAGTATAAAGCTAAGCAAAATAAGATAGAGAAAGACAAATGTCATTTGATTTCACTCATATGTGGAATTTATGAAACAAAACAAATGAGCAAAGGGAAAGAAAGAAAGACAAATCAAGAAACAGACTCTTAACTATAGAGAACAAACTGATGGGTACCAGAGAGGTGGGTGGAGGGATGGGTGAAATAGGTGTTTGGGATTAAGGAGGGCACTTGCTGTGATGAGCACCAGGTGATATATGGAATTGTTGATTCACTATATGCTACAACTGAAACTAATATAACACTGTATTAACAACTAGAATTAAAAAATAAAATGAAAAGTGGCTAAGATGGCAAATTTTATGTGTTTTTTTACCACAACAACAAAAACAATTCACTTACTGGAGGTCTTCTGCCATGACTAGTTCTCACTGCTTGCTGAAAAGCTGTGTCATTCTCTAATTCCTAAAATGAAAAGGCAAATTTAACATTCAGTATGAAGGAAGAATTAAAAAAAATAAGTTTAATGTCTTCTGTTTGGTATTCGTGATCCTCTATAATTCATCTTACCCATCTGTTGGTATCTAGGTAGTGGCTCAAGGACTCCTGTCCTCAAAACTCCCCCGTCACGCTACCCAAATGTCAAGCTTCCTTTCTTGTCTAGGAAGAGGAGTACTGGTAATGTCAGTCAACTGTAAGGTATTCTATTGGCCATGTTTAAATGCGTGGTATCATTATGCCTGGTTAAAAGATCAAGGACACAAGGATACGGCCTTTCTTCTTCCTTCTTCCAAACAGCAAGAGCAGTAAGAGCAGGGAAACACATCTCTTTCTCACCCTCTCTCTCTCTTTTTTTTTTTTAAGATTTTATTTATTTATTTGAGAGAGAGAGACAGAGAGGGACAGAGAGAGCACAAGCAGGGGGAGAGGCAGGCTCCCTGCTGAGCAAGGAGCCCGATATGGGGCTCGATCCCAGAACCTGGAGATCATGACCTGAGCTGAAGGCAGACGCTTAACCATCTGAGCCACCCAGGCGCCCCCTCCCTCTCTTTCTCTCTGTCCTCTCTCCCTCCCTTCTCTTCTTCCATATGCTGGGACCATGGTTACTACTAGCCCCATCCTGAAAAAGCCTTAGGACATTTCATTTCACTGGAGAAGTCAAGTCTGGAATTCAGGCTGGAGCTGAGCAAACAGAAGGCTCCACAGGGTCCAACCTGCTGTCCCATTTGGGGCCAAAGCCTCAGTTGAAATAAAATGTTATTGTGCTTTGCTGATTCCTGCATGTACTCAGATTCTTCCTCAGGAAAGGTGAGGAAAGTAGTATTAGTCAAAAGCAAGATACAAATGTTCCCGGGTTTCCAGGACAAATGCCATTTTTAGACTCTCAAAAACACCCAGTCTTGCCAACCACCAACCTTCTAACCAGCCTTTATTTCCTACTCTTTCACCAACGCAAACTCTGGCTCTAACCCTTCATACAGACGTTAGGGCAACTGTCAGATTTGCCTCTGATTTATTTCAGTCTACTTTCCACAAAAATGTACTTGCTGATTGTCAAAAAAAAAAAAAAAATTAAAAAAGAGTCACTATCAATTAACTTTTAAAACCTCTGCAAACAATTAAAGTAAAATGTTTATATAACCAGGATGTTAATAAAATGCACTTTTAAAAAAAAAGATTTTATTTGACAGAGAGAGAGAGAGCACAAGCAGGGGGGGAGCGGCAGGCAGAGGGAGAGGGAGAAGCAGGCTTCCCAGTGAGCAGGAAGCCCGATATGGGGCTCGATCCCAGGACCTTGGTATCATGACCTAAGCCAAAGGCAGACGCTTAATGACTGAGCCACCCAGGAGCCCCTAAAATGCACTTTAAATGTGATTTTATTATGTCCAAGCATTCTTTAATTTTTACCTTAAAATAATCTTTATAACCTTCCATGTCAACTATAGAAAATTAGTAAGTACACAATCCTTGGTTAGTTATGGAAACTAGGCAACTTTCATATGAAGTACAAAGCCAAAGGCAACTTTCAGCATAATTAATTATACTACTTTGGCAGATCCCTTAGGAAAAGGAAGTCTAGTATTCCTAAACGATAAATAAAATTTTATTTAATTAACTCAGTGAATCCTAACTAAATGACAAACTAAAAATTGTCAACAAACTCTCCAATTACAAATACCAAACTAACACAACTTTTGTAATTTTTCTTTGTTCGTGATTTTATTAGCAATCTGCATAATCTATGAATATCTTAGAAAATGTTTCAATTAATTCATTTATATATGAAACTTATTATTCCAACTAATTAAGATATAAGAAAACTGTGGGTAAACCAAACGTCATTTTTATTTTACTATTTAATTTATTTTTATGTCTGCCATTCTGAATATTCTCTTTGAATTAAACAATGAAGCCACACTGTGATGACCCGAGAAGTTAGGAAATTTCTCTGGTGCTTTAAAACTGATCATATTCATTATCTATTAATTCTACTTCTGGGACTCTAGCCAAGGAAATGCTTGCTCAAAATACAGAAAATCATTTATGCATAAAATTGTTCACTGCATAGTTGTTATTTACAACAGCAGAAAACTGGAAATAAATATCCTATGATCTGAAAATAGTTCTAATCATCTATACATATTCAGTAAAATGCAGCAATTAAAATTATACAGTTGACCTTGAACAACACAGGTTTGAACTGTGTGGGTCTACTTACATGTGGATTTTTTTCCCAGTGAATATACTGGGGGGCGCTGGGTGCCTCAGTAGTTAAGCGTCTGCCTTCGGCCCAGGTTATGATCCCAGGGTCCTGGGACTAAGCCCCACATTCGGCTCCCTGCTCCGTGGGAAGCCTGCTTCTCCCTCTCCCATTCCCCCTGCTTCTCCCTTTCCCACTCTCCCACTTATAATTCTTTTTTTTTTTTTTAAAGATTTTATTTATTTATTCATGAGAGAGAGAGAGAGAGAGGCAGAGGGAGAAGCAGGC